CTTTGGAGCTTACAACAGTACGATATTTACTGCTAATCAGCTGAAATTATCTACAATCCCTGATTTTTTTACTACTAGTTGGCAATGATATTGGGAAGAATATGAGCGAATATCTACAACAAACAATGGTGCCGTTATTAACTCAAGAGGAATGCTCGTGAGTGGAATTTGAAAAATTGATATTCATTATAATATTTTAGCATCCTTTAATTTTTGGCCCTAGCTCTAAAATCATCGAATTTGATAGCATGAGGGTTACAATGATGAGATTTGATAGTAAAGTGATAGTAGACCTTGAAATGGGCAATTTCAGGAGCATAGATATCGAGAAAATTAAAATATTTTTCCCTTTCTATACTTCAGTAGCAAATGCACGAGTATATAATGATGTGGGAGCCCATAAAAAATTTTGGGTGTAGTCGATACTCAAATTATTGAGAATAAATATGACAAAGTGGCAGGAGATAAAATTCAAAGAAGCCGGTGGAAAAATATTGACTAAAAAACGTGTCGTGGGTAGAAAAGGCCACTCCCCCCTTCGGTTGGTTAAATAAAAGATTATTCACAGTTTGTCGACTTTTTGAAAAGTTGTTTTCTTAAATTAATAACAGCAGTACACCTGTTTGATTTAAAGTTTGTACTCCATTTTTCCGGAATTTTGGATTTGGATAAGGTCTTCAAATAAAACTCATCCATCTTTTCATGCGATAATTAATAAAAATTTTCTCTTTAATCCAACCTAGCCTTCACTTCTTTGAATTTAATTGGCAAATGTCTAATAACAAAGACAAATCTTTTAAGACAAAGATGGCGGAAACTCGAAGAATATGGCGGAGGATTTGATATTGCTCCCACCCAGCTATGTGCTGGATCACTTGGTCATGGTACTGCACAGGTATGATGAGCTTACCAAACACATACCACCTGCTGGTCAAAGCTTTGAAACTTGAAACCCTAACAGTTAAAATTGAGGTTTTCCTTCATATTAAACCATATCAAACATTATTTCCAAAAACATTTGCTTCCACAAAATGAAAGGTAAAAGTTATGAGTTTCTAGGGTGATAGCGGTGGCCCGCTAATGCAACGAGATAATGATGGACGCTGGTATCAAATAGGCATTACTTCATTTGGTATAAATATAGGTCCTGGGTATTACGATCAAAATATGGCGCCAGGTTTGTTTACTAGCAAATCACATTTTTCACTCAACTGGATACAGTAATCATTGATTATACGAAATTAAATTCAGGAATTTATACTCGGGTATCATCTTACTGCAACTTCATAATATCAACTACCAATGGGGAAGTACCTTGCTCTTCAGGAGGATCCCTTCTTCACTCTGTCGCATTTTTTATGTTGCTATTACTTACTTTCATAATTTCATAAGAGCTTTAATTTTTCTGCCAATAGGATGCAAAGAAAACAAGCACTCTGCAACATAATAGCCCAATGTTCAGAATTATGCGATGTAGTTCAACTGTCAAACATGCACAATTTTCAAATTATGGTTCATTGTAATGTGTTCTTAGTATGTAAACTCCCCACATTTTGCGAAACCTTTACAGGCCTTTCATACTTTTACTTCTACCTCTGTTATCCACAATAAAATTAATTTATTCTCATGGAATTACAGTACAGCATCGATAGAGATGACCAATTCGTAAGGTACTCAATCATAAGACTAGAATAGTATGCTAGTAAAATCGATACGCACACTCGACTATACAATAAATTATCATCAGCGAAACATGATGAAGTCTACCACAACGCAAGTGAAGTTGAGAGGAACAAGGCAATAGATACACGGGTTTTAGCACAAAATGTGAGCAAAAACTTCTCAATTTATAATGGACGAAACGATGAAGCGATAAATGTAAAGCAGACAGAGATGAAGGAAATATAAGTGGAATTATGCTATCAACGATTTAATATCGTTGTAAATCGGCCAAATCCGTTATTGGAGTTGGAACTGGTGACTAAAAGGAACGTTTTCAGAATATTCGCTAGAACTCAAAAAAAAAGATTTTCAAATTATTATATTCAAAAGGGCTCGGGGCTAGGTAGAACTTCGCAATTTTGCTGTGCTATGACGCAACGCGTATCGGCATTCCAAAAATGATGACGCCGATCTCATAAGACTGATATTTGTGGGTTTCAAATAGAAAACTTCCTTTTTTCCTAGATTTGGTATGGTGCCTCCAGCTGTTATAGATGCATAGGATATATTGATATGCATAAATGCATAGCTTTGTCCGTGAGTAGTGGTAACTTTGAGGGTATTTCCTGATTTACTCCAACAGTCG